CGGCGCTTCCCCCGCCACGGTGTCTGTGACTGGTCTGACGCTACGATCTGCGGCTCGCACACTTGAGGAAAACACGCTGGCTCTGAGCTTGGAGTAGAGCGCTCTTTCCATTGATAGCAGTACCCTGCAGGCACGGGCCATTTTCCCAGTTGTTTTGCTGCCCCCATGCAAGCATTTTATCTTTATCCCTGCTCTTTCACAGTATCTGTGCAAGCCAGTGCTTTGGAAGGCCTTTCTGCTGTGTCTGCTTGGAGTCATTCCCATGTGAAATCCCCCCGTGAGTCACAGCAGCCACGGATAACACACACTCCTCACTTTCCAGAAGGCTTTTCCACCCTTCTCTGCTCCGTGCTGCTAGATTTAACGGCTACGAGTAACCTCTGTCATTCCACATGCTAGCATCAAACTTCTCATACCTCATGCTTCAAGGCATCAGCTGATGGCCAAAAGGAGCAGGAGGAGAGTTCTCCACACGTTTGCAGTGTCTCATAATTCAAGCATTGAGGTGCTGTTTGGTTCTTCAAAACAGAGTTCAGATCCCGGTGGCCCCTCTGACACTGCCAAGGTGACAGAAGCTCCAGTAGCATTGACGGCCCTGGAGGCAAACAGTGGGAGAGAGGGAACTGGGAGCAGAGTCAGAGGGAGCAAGGGAAAGGACAGTGAAGGCATGCAGGCACTTCAACGATGCCAGCTAACAAAAGGGATTCCATCTCTGTTTGAGAGAGGCAGATACTGGCAGGAGAATGGGATCTCTATACACACAAGTAATTCTTTTGGACATAACATCAGCATAAATAGCACACAAAAAGATGTAGTTCCGCTTCCTTGTTTGGTAGGCAAACCGGGAAAACTTGTTATGAACTGCAAATGGTTCTTGTGAACAGCTATGTTCCTCCCTGTCCTGGGAGGTGGAAGGACTCAGAAGTGCACTAAGTGAGGCGCAAACACTCGCCTAAGTAAAGGATCAGTCACCACCAACTGCATGTGCCCCACATACTTTGAGGAATAATAATGGTCATTTCAGCCCAAAATACTGTCTTTAAAAGTTCCACTGAGGAGTAAAGGTGTCTTATTTATGAGAAATATCTGAAAACTGGGTCTACAAATGAATTCAGAATGAACAAAATTTCCTTGCAGGAGATGCAGGAGAAGCAACTCTGAACAGCTCAAGCTGAGGTGTGAGCTCTTCAGCCTTGCTGAGCTCCAAAGCTGCCGGTAATTTTAAATCCTGCTGATCCACCACAGACACCCCCTCATAGTTCAGGTGTGGATTTTATTCCATTTCTAGTCTTCTCTGACAAGCTAAATTAAAGCCTATGGATATTTCTCTCTCCATTACAAAGCTACCTTGTGTCTTTGCTGTAGGAGTCGTCCAATGTAAATTCTGCTTTGTTAACATCTGCAAATGACCCAAGCCACCAAACACAAGATCAGGGAAGAACCGCATTTCACCTGCTGCCCAGGTGAATGACCCCAGCAGTTAATGCGCTACGGCAGACCTGCCACGTGAAGCACGAGGCATTTAAATCAGATTACACAAGCTGTGAAGGGCAGACGCTCCTGGGCCTCTAATCACGACACCCGCACTTGTGGAAAGGAAACAATTCTACAGTCCCTGACACAGTCTGGCCGTTCAGTGTGTGAACTGGCCCGTCAGGAAAGCAAGGGATGTGAACAGTGGGCAGAGAGCACCAGCAGCCGCGCAGAATCCCTGCTGGTTTCTGGCTCCCCGAGTTAGTCCTGTCCTTTTTGCACCCAGGATGTCGGAGAAAGACATTTCCTGGAGAGTCCGCTTTACCTCCCAGTGCCTGCTTTCTACAGTAAACGCAGTGCTATTTATGTAACTACAAGCCTACACGGATGCGCATACCTGCGCAGGAGGTACGTGAAGCTATAGTGAAACTACACTCGTGGTCAATGCATCGCAGGGCAACAGTGCACGCCCATGTGCTCTGCAGAGCCCACAGATCCCTCTCCACCTGCACCCGAGGCCACGGAGTGTGTCCCGGGTGGCAAAAGGTCTGGGGAGAGTTGAGTTCTGTCCCTCTGTTCTCCTTGTGATGGTTCTCAACGGACCCGCTCACAATTCTCGGCAGTTTCTCTTGTGGAAAGCACTGCAGAGGGAATCCCCCCTTTTATTAAAGATCACATTGCCTACATGGTTGCCCCTTCTTCACACATCAGAAGTTGAATCATGCAACACAAAAGGTATGTGGTGAGTAAACCACCTTTCTATCTAAGGAAACTGGGGATGGCCCTGAGGGGAAGGAAGGGGTAACGTAAGTGAAGTGATGAGAATGGTACCGAGAGCGTGACGAGCAGAGACTGAATTTCAGTACACAGTTCCTTCCAGAAAGATTTCAAAGCAGCTTACACACACACACAAAAAAAAATACAAGGTGCAAACTGTGGCATAGAGAGCGACATGACTTACTCTCAGGTCTCCCAGCAAGGCAATAGTTAAAGCAGTATCTGCAGGGTCCAATGTCCTGTCTAGCAGGACATCAGCACTCAAAACAAGAAGCTTCCTTGGCAGCCACGTGGAAAGAGCTGCGAGCACAAATGGGCAGCATTCAATTCCCATCACACCTGGACTTTCCAGGGACAGGAAAGCTAAGGAAAGAAGTGGCAAAGAGGAAGGAAAAAAGCAAAACAGAGAAAGACCTTTCACACCCTGCCTTAGAGATGAAGCCCATGATGGGGCACGGCACACCTTGAGCACGTTGGCAGGTGACACCAAACTGGGAGGAGTGGCTGATGCACCAGAGGGTTGTGCTGCTGTCCAGAGGGACCTGGGCTAGCTGGAGAAATGGGCTGGGAGAGACCTCGTGAAGGTCAGCGAGGGAAGAGCCGGGTCCTGCCCTGGAGAGGAGCAGCCCCAGCTGAAGAGTAGCTTAAAATTCAATTTGTATTAAATAAAAAATAAAGGTAGTGGTTTCTGTTTCTCTGGTTTTGTGGATAAAATGCCTAAATGTGCGTAATTTCCATTAATGCTCAGAACCTAAATTGGATTGAAGTGGGAAGACAAAACCCTCTCTAGCTGTCCAGCTTGGAGTCTCTGGGCCAGTGTACCAGAAATGTCTGTGTTGTTTTCTTGCATTAGAGGCCTGAGGCAGGACACTCCTACCCACGGTCACACCAAGGGTCCTTTTGTAGTCGGCTGAACTCAGCGTATGCATAGAAGGTCAGGCCGATGCAATTATTTAGCTAGAATATGTACTCCAGGGTTAACAGAAGGCCAAGATGTTGACAAGAGTGGTGGACACAGGAGCGTCCAATCAAGAACTACTGTCCTTGGGAACAAAGTATATCTTAGAAAAATACTTAAGTTAATTAAGACGTTTTTGAACAATTTGGAACTAACAGCAGAAGAGTGCCTTTAAACGAACTATCCTCATTATAATGCTCAAAATCACACCCCTTGAGCTGGAGACCCTGGCCCAAGCACAGACCCTTACTGAGCATGTGTAGTAAATTTTAGGATTGCTGTATCTTTAAACCAAAGCGAAATGAGATCTTTAGCTGTAGAAGCATACCATGCGACTGTAACCAGGCGTGCTACCTTTGTGGCCCTACCAGCCAGCACCCATCTCTGCGCAGACACGCAATCAGCTGCTGTCGCGGCTCCGCGTGCGTGCTGGGTGCTGCACACCGGGTGTGAGCTGCGTTTGTGAGACCACCCTTTCAGCAGCAGCTTTGGTTTGAGATGACAGTCTGTGTCACCCTCCGTGCAGCAGGGTGGTGATTAGTTTTGGTTTGTTTATTTTAATGGTCTCTTCAACATCCAAACCCGGGGATCAAGCCAGACCTTGCAAACAGTAAAAAATAACAATAGTTGTCCCTCAAAGAATGATAATGAATAGGTAATAAAAACGAAGTGTCCATGTAAAACTCTGAGGAAGCCAGAAACTGATGAAGATGTGGGAGCTGCACTGTTGTCACTCAGATTTGCGTCTGGAAAGCTGTGGAGGCTGGGACGAGCGAGGACGGGAGGCTGGCACCCAGCCTCGCTGCAGCACCCCTGTGCCATGGGGCAGGGGTTACGGCTGGCGGGGGTGGCTTCGCCTGACGCTGATTTCCAGACACGAAGCAGCCGGGGTTTCATACTTAGCCACGGGATGGCACTTTCTCGCAAGAAATCCAGCGTAAGCCCAGCACCGCTGCAGCAAGAGGCACTTTGGCACAGCCCCGCTGGAAAAAATCGTCTCATAGAGGAAGCCTGGTGGAAAAACATCACGGAAAGGCTGATGCTGTTTTAGCCATCCCAAATCGAGGAGGATTAGAGCATTGTCTCCCTGTTTGGAGCCAATAAATCCGCATCGCCCTGCAGGTGTGGGTCCTCAGGCACTTACAAGATGCTACAGCTGGCAGAGGTGGAGTGAAATTACCTACGAGGGCAGAGCTGGGCCACGTCCTGCCATCGGCTGCAGCTCAGCGCAGCGGACGCGCAGCTGGGAGCTGGGCCTCGGAGATGTGCTGGAAGGGAATTAACGTACGGAAAGACGTCCCACATGGTACGGGAGGTCTTTATGAAGGTAACTTGGAGGAGGTTGTTGTACTATCTTTGCAATTCAGATCTGAATTAAACGGACCTTTCTGTGCACCTGGCCTTCGGGCGTGCAGCTAGGACAGCCCGTGGGTGCTGTGGGCAGCGCTGAGGCTGCGCAGGGTGTGGTGCACCCGCAAGCAGAGACGAAGCCAGGCAGATGCTGCCAAGGCAGTTTTGATGGAGTTTGGCTGTTACTACAGGCCGTTAGTGTTGCACTTGTGTCATCTGCAAAGCGTAGATAATATGGTCCTGATATGATGATACCGTATTGATGTCACAGCAGTTTTGTCTGCATCGCTCGGCGGGTGCTTCGGAAAAAACCATGGTTTTACCCGAGTGCTGGTTATAATTAGAAGTGTCTGTATTTCAGCAGAAGAATGGTGCCTGATGTTTCAAATGGTGAATAGAAAAGGAGCAAGAGGGTATTAAAAAGAGGTAACAGCAAAGGTATAAAAAGTAAATTAAGTTTTTATATAGTATTGTATTTATCAGTAACAGCTTTGTGTTGCCCGTGCAATGGCACACCGACTTAAGTGAGGACATAAAATGCACCTGTTAACTGGGCAAGCAAAATGGACTTTTTAATATTGCCTTTAAATTAATGTGAAACCAAAACTGTATGCAGGCAGGATTGAGACAAAAGGACGTTTTACTTGTTCGTGGCTGGATCACGCACCATGAGATTAGATCGTCTGTATCAGACTTAGGATAGAAGTGCTTCTGATAACTCTACACCTGCCCTTTCTAAATTAAAAAAAAAAAATAATAATAAAGATGTATGAGAAAGACAATTGAACAGCCAGGACTTTATGTGATGAACATGAGGCCTTCTGACTTGCTGCATGATACGCTTATTTCTATGGTGCCTCTCTGCTGTGGTTTTTCAGGTGTTCTGTAGAAACAAAGTGTTAATCTGAGTCCAGTACAGTTTTTGAGTAAGTGGTGAGAGTGTCACTTGCAGCACTAGCAGGTACCAGAGCTCCTTGTAAGCGAGCGGGGATATTACCCCTGCAGCAGGGGTGCACCGGAGCCCTGGGGTTACCGTCTGCGGGTCTGGGGCTCTCCCTGCAGCCGCAGCTCCACGCCTCGACCTTCCTCCCCGGGCCCGGCCAACAGCTCTGACTGCGGGGCGGGGGGCCCCAGCAGAAGGGGGGTGTTTTGGGGACACACAAGCCCAGTGCTTCGCCATCCCCCGAGCAGGCACCTGTGCGGTGGGTGGAAATGCCCAGAGGGCCCAAGAGAGCTTTGTCCAGCACCAGTGACCATACAAGGTGGAAGCCGCAGACCCCCTCCCCAGCACGAGTGTGTCCTGTCCCTGGTATCAAACTGCACCTCGGGGCCATCAGCAGTGTGTGAAAATGCTGTATTCATCACAAAATAATACAGCATAATGTACTATTAATATTATTTTTTTTTCTTTGTCCTCAAAACACGTGTTTGGACATATGCTTTAAAATAAAAAAGGAAAAAAACTCCAGACAGGTGGCTGTAGCCTTCAGAGGTTTTTCAGTAGAATTTTTGGTTGATGTTTTTTCTTTGTTTTACTTTTTGATAGCTTAACATAGAGCTTAGGCAATGGTGCTGCATATCTTCAGTGGTCCCAATAAATTTGTGTTTCTCCAACAACGTTAACTGTTCTGCAGCTACACTGATGGTAACCTCTGTAGTATCGCTGATGCCGCACCACAACCAGGTTTTAGGTGTTGGCAGAGAAACCACAGGGAAGACTGCCCGATGAGCACGCATCGTTGGTACCAGCACTTCATATCCTTCCACATTATTCCTTTCCACGACGGTATTTTTAACTAAAAACTAGGGACTATTAGTATAGATGTGTGCTAGTGGTAATGAGAGCTCACACGGGCGCCCTTGCTTGCTCTCCCCTCTCCCACCAGCGTGTGGGAGACGTGAAGCAGAGGAGGTACCGCAACAGCTCGAAGTACTCCTGTGTCAGCTGAATTAGACACTTCTGCGTCCTTAAAAAGCTCTGGATTTCTACATCTGTGCTTTGATGCATTACTTGCTATAGAGACCGTAGTCTTACAGGTCTGAAATCTCTGTTCATGCATATGAATACACCAAGGGATGAGCTAGTCCCCAGAACAACGAAATCTGAGCCAAACGTTTAGTCCTTCAGGAACATATCAGCTGCCAGATCCACCCAGTAAGCAACTACTGCTGGAACCAGCTACGGTAAGGGTGATCCAGAGAGGGAGAGACCCTTTTTGCTTCAAATAGGATCAAATCATTCAAATAGACAGCAAGTGATAAAACAATGTTGTGCCTCATCACAGGGCAACCTCTTTATTCCTTTGCGCTTGCCAAAACAGATGGAAGAGCAACCAGAAGGAGTAACTATCTAGTTTGCTGTCTTCCTTTATAAAAGAAATGGGAATTTACTAATTTCTTCCCTAACGAACGTTTTCTACATTGTTCACACCCAAAAAGCACTGGGCAGCGTGTTTCAGACCAGCTGTTGGCAGCTGGTTTCCTTGGAGCACGAGTGAGCTTGCAGCGGCGGACGGATCCTCGGGTTCGTGCTCCTGGTGTACACTCACACAGCGACCAATTTTAACATCAGGGCACCGCCGGCTTCCGCTTTTTTTCCCTGCAAGCTCCGTACTGTTCTGTAGGCTTTGTAAGAACCGAAGCTCAAAGCTTCCCGTCTCTTTGTGGGCAGGCTGCTTGGCCTGTCCCCGCGCTCTAAAATGGGGGATCTGGAGGGGTTACTGCATTTGGATCCGTCTCCATCGCGTTGTCTACACACCCGCCTGGCTGGCTGGGGTTGTTCTGACCTCTGCCCGGAGCAGCGGCTTCCCCTGCGCCGCTCGGGGCCAGGCGCGCTGGGGC